ATAAGTTTTATTGAAGCAAACAAAAATTAGTCTTGCACGAAAAGTTCTGTCAGAATCAACTACACAAGTTTCCAAGTACTGAGTAAGATCTTGGAAAATGCTTTGATTGCAAAATTCTATCTACCAGTAGATACCACAGACTATTTTGATCGGAGTAACATTTCATAGTAGAATTACATAATGAAGAGTTTAAAGGGGGGAAAAAAAGATAGAAAAGAAAAAAAAAATAGAGGAGGCGGCATAGAGGTTTAACTTAGGTATTCCATAGCCAAGTTCAAGCATGGCCACATTAAACAAAGTAAACTTGAAATTGAATAGCAATATTTACATTGAGATTAAGCATGCCCACATTAATGAAAATAAACTTAGTACTTTGTTTCTTAATAGTGAGGAGGTGGAAGCACACATTGGGAGCATTCATAAATGGCATGGAATCTGCATAAAAATAATGATTAAAACTATGTAGGTGCCCACTATTTTGTAGAAAGCCATGGTTTTTTGTATGGTTGTTTATGCTAAAATAATTCTACCATGCAAGCTGTATATATATGTATGTGTGTATATATATTACTTTTCCTATTGCAAGTTGAGTTTTTCTACTCCAAGGAAATTGAAAAGATTTTGTACCTGGAGCAACATAGCCTATGGTTCCCCTTATTGCAATTGAATTGCTTTGACCTTGTGCCTCATCACTTGAAACGGTAGAAATAATTTTCGCTAACCCGAAATCTCCAATATGGGCCGTCATCTCATCATCCAAAAGAACATTACTTGGCTTTAGATCACCATGAATAATTGTCGACTCATAACCACAATGAAGATACTCAAGTGCAGAGGCAATACCAATGGAAATGTCCACCTTCTGGATTAGTTTAAGATTTCTAGGCTCTTCTAGTTGCTCATGGTCTCCAACTCCAGCTTGATGCAACCAATTGTACAAGTTTCCATTGGCCATAAATTCATATACCAGAGCTTTGAATTCATTACCATGAAAATCTACACTAGAACAAACGCTCAAAATTTTCAATAGATTTCGGTGCCTTATGGCTCTTAGTGCCTTGCATTCTGATATGAAGCTCTTAGAAACTCCTCTAGTTTGAAGATTGAGTACTTTCACTGCAACAACCATCTGAATATGATCAAGAATCCCTTTGTAAACTGAAGCATAGCTCCCAACACCAATTAGATTAGCCTCTGAGAATCCATCAGTGGCTTTGAGAAGCTCTGCATAAGAAACCCTCAAAAATTGATCTTTGATTGATGGCGTGCTAGAGGTCTTCTTTTTTGAAACACGACACCGTTGAAGAAATATAAAGAAGCTAACTAACAAAGATAAAAATATCACAATACCAACCACCAGTGGGATCACTTTCATCCTGTGAGAAAGGTAATTCTTACTGGGGTTGGAGGATGAACAAGGAGGAAGGTGTAATGTTGCAATACCTCCACATAGATCATTATTTCTAACAATTGAAATTGCACTTGAATTTCGAAACACTCCTTGTATGGGAACTTGTCCATGTAGCATATTAAAAGACAAATTCAACATATCTAGTTGAAGCTCACCTAGAAAACTTGGGATCAGTCCCGACAATTATTATTGCGTGAAAGATCCAATAATCTTAAGCCCCTCAGCATGCTCAAACTTTGAGGTATCTCTCCTTCAAATGAGTTGGCCTGCATGTGAAGCCATTCCAAACTGAAACAATTGCTCAGCATGTTTGGTATGGGTCCTGATAATCTATTATAGGATACATCCATGTACCCAAGATTTTTCAAACACTCAACTTCTGATGGAAGAGAACCGGTTAGTGCATTGTGATCTAACGTGAGGAATGTTGAAATAGAGGAAAGACTCATAATTTCAGGGGGTATTGAACCATTGAAATTATTTTTATAAAGGTGTAATTCCAACAAGCTATGACAATTGCCCAAACTTGGAGGTATGTTTCCATAGATATTGTTTTCTCCCAAGTCGAGAGTAATCAATGAAGTCAAATTACCAAGCGAAGATGGAAGTTCCGTGAATTTGTTCTGGGCTAACAACAGAGATTGTAGATTATGAAGTCTGCCAATGGAGGATGGAACAGGTCCAGCAAGATTATTTGCTACCATAGATAACTGAGTGAGGTTGAGAAGGTTCCCGATGCCTGAAGGAATGCTTCCATGTGTTTGATTAATATGCAAATTCATCCAGCTAAGATATGTGGAAAGATTAGCTATGGAGTCAGGCAATGAACCTCTAAAAAGATTGTCACCCGCATCAATAATTTGTAAACTGGTGCAATTCGTTAGAGGTGAAATAAAAGTGAGGTCATCCTGCAACCGATTTTGATAAACACCTATCGCTGTAAGACCCGGAAGTTTTCCAAGATCTTTCGGCATTGTCCCGCTGAAATAATTTATAGAGATGAGTATCTCTTGAAGTTTTGAAGCGTTTGACAATGAAGTAGGAATTGTTCCAGTAAACAAATTGTTCATACAATTAAGAAACTTGAGATTTGGAAGTGTGGAGCCTATATCATGAGGAATATTTCCTTCAAGTTGGTTAACGGTTAATGATAAAAAAAGGATGGTGGAGATATTATAAAGGCCAAATGGTACCTTGCCAGATAGGTTATTCTCAGATAATTGGACTAAGCTCAGGCCTCGAAGCCTAGCAATTTCTTCCGGAATCTCCCCATGCAAATTACAATGCGATAAAGAGATTTGGAAAAGAGATGAGAGGTTTCCAATGAAAGGAGGGATGGTTCCTGAAAGCTTGTTTTTACTTAAGGCTAAGGTTCAAAGCCTTGACAAAGAGCCCAACTCAGCTGGGATGTTTCCGGTTAGGTGGTTGTCGATCAAGTTCAGCCATTCAAGTTTTGAGCAGCGAGAAAGGTTGTTTGGTATTCCACCTCGAAACGAATTGTTGTTGAATTCTATTGTTTGTAGCCGAAACAAGCGACCCAACTCCTGTGGGATTGGGCCGTGGAAGCTATTGTTTTGAAGATCAATGCTATTGAAGAAGGAGAGGTTTCCTATATGAGGTGAGAGCAAACCAACCAGGCCTTGGGACCTTAGAGTTAGCTGAATAACTCTATCAGGATGTCGACGACTACACAAAATGCCTTTCCAGTGGCAGTAGTGGAGTGAATGATTCCAGGAAGTGAGGGCACCAAATAGGTCTTGAACAATTGCAGCCTTGAAGGCCACCAATGCAACTCTATCTGTCTCATTATTTGCCATGATGCAATTTGCTGCGGGGATGTTGCACAACAAGTAGCACCACAACACAAGGTCAGTCTAGAGCACAATAAGCAACTTTGCCATGGTTTTTCTGAATAGTAATGTTAGGGATCATGAAAAATATATCATGAAATACATCATGAAAATTTTTTATCCCTTGATTAGTCTTGATTAGTGTGTGGTGTTTTATTGTATGGGTAATCCAAAGGTTGAGAATCTTTCCACCAATGCAACTCTATTTGTCTCATTATTTGCCATGATGCAATTTGCTGCGGGGATGTTGCACAACAAGTAGCACCACAACACAAGGTCAGTCTAGAACACAATAAGCAACTTTGCCATGGTTTTTCTGAATAGTAATGTTAGGGATCATGAAAAATATATCATGAAATACATCATGAAAATTTTTTATCCCTTGATTAGTCTTGATTAGTGTGTGGTGTTTTATTGTATGGGTAATCCAAAGGTTAAGAATCTTTCATGATAATATTCATAATATATTTTTCATGATCCCTAGCATTAATCTGAAATGTTCAATCTCTTTAAATTGTGAATCATTAAAAGTAAATAAATAAATTTTGTTGAGATAGAGATACTGAAAGACTTGGGGTGAAGGTTGCAAGATGGCAATAGGATTGAAATAGACGTTGAGGATTGAAAGACCAGTGCGTCCCTCTCTTTTCAGAAATAATTGCTGTGTACCATCAACTGTAGCGTGTCTTCGGGTTCGATATATTTACTCGTTTGTTTTTTTTTTTTTTTGATCAGCAAAGAAAGAACTTTATTGATGAAAACAGAAGGAATTACATCAATAAAGAAGGGAAAAGAGGCGCTAGAGGTTAGAGAGAAACCAACCACAAGCAACATTACAGCCACACAGAAACATAACAACCACTGCTAGAACAACAGTGCTGAAGAATCACAGGTGAAACATAACAACCACTACTCGTTTGTTTTTTTAATAACAAATGTAATTCAAACTTGTGTTATTGATATGTTTTTCTTTTGAACACCATGATTATTGATATCGATTAATTTAATTTTTTTACATAAATAATTTACTTCAAATGTATTAAAAATTAAACAATTTAAATGACTCAAATGGATTTTTTGTGGGCCTCAATTATCTAAAATTAGGTTTGCAAATGAACCGAATTGTTTGCTAGTTGGTTTGGTTCAACTTGTTAAGGGCTCGACTTATCTCGTTTAGTAAATGAGCAAAGCTTGAGCTTGAATATTAGGATCGTTTATCTTTATTTTATGTATTAAATAATATAAATAATATTTTTTATTTAAATAATATAAATAAATAAATAAAAATTATCGAGCAGAGCCAAGCAGAACCGAACTTGAGCTCAATAAACAAGTTCGATAAGCAAACAAACTGAACTTAAACTCAACAAAACTCGATTTGTTTTGACTCAACTCGTTTATAGTCTTATCCAAAACTAGACCCACCAATCTAATAGGGAGACTAGAGGATAGCCAAGTTCTTTTTTTTAATGGCTCACATTTTAGGACGATTCACATAAGCCTTTTAGTGTTATTGAATATAGCTAAGAAATATTTTGTTTTTGTTTAAAAAATAGTTTGGGTGTTTATGGCAGCAAATTTTGTCTTATTATAAATGGCAAGTCACAACAGAAATCAAATTCAAATAATGTTGAGTATAAAATTAATATGATTAAAAAGATATAAGTTAATTTTTAAAAAATAATTTGGAAAGAAAATTAAAATTTCTATAATGCAATTGCTTCCAAAACTGCTATAAATCGGATCGATAATATCAAGTATCATAAGAGAAATATTATGAAAAGTCTTTATGAAAATTCTCCACCTCAGTGTTATTATAAGCAATAGGTGCACCAAGGCGCCAAGGTCTCTTGGAGCTTAGGCTCAATGTGAGGCGCAAGTTTCACTGAAGTGAGGTGCACCTTGTACATAAAAAAAATATAATTTAATATAATTACATAATTTATTGTTCAACATAAGCAAAATGCAATATTAAACATACAAAAATATAAATACCAACAAAAACTACTATTTTAACAGAGACAAATGAACAATATTTCAAAATTTAACATAAAACGTGAATGAAAAGAGAGTGGAAAAGAAGAAGGATGAGGAAGAAAAGGAGACCAGAGAATATGTAACGCCCTCAAAATAATAACAATAAACCCATCAAATAAGACATGCATTTACATATAAACTAACCACATTCCTTTATTCCTTAGAATTTCATTTCATAAGTATTACATGTTAACATCATAACAAAATGCCCTACTGGCTTACAGCTTTCCAAGTTAACACTTGGTTACAACAAAAGAGTACTAACTCGTTTACACATTAAGCCCTAGGCATGAAGTTACATGTAATACATCAAAAGTTAAGCGACAAAAGTATGTCCGCCACTAGCCTCCCAGCTATGTCCTTGGAGGTGGCATGCTTCCTGCACCTGAAAATGATATTCCCATATAGGGTGAGCCACAGCCCAATAGAAATACACTAAACCAACCATGGACAAGGACTAAAACATTAGCAATTGATAGTTGGCCAACACTGATACAATCACATAAATCATATATTTATGTCAAACGACTTACAAGTTCAAGTTACTTTTCATTTTTTCCTTTTTCAACGGATAGGCATATAGGCACTAACCACATTCTCAACAGATATATATAACAACAATATCCGCATTCTCAGATAAGCAAATAAGCTATATCCACATTCTACAACAGATATGTATAACAACAATATCCCACAATAAACACATTTTTCTCAATGTACATAACATCAAGATTGTGTCGAATTAAATTGTCCTTCAAATATGGTAATTGGAAAAAAAATGCTTTTTTTTCTCTCCAACTATATTCTTCCCTTAAGGTATTGTGAATGCCTCTCCTATCCTCAACAACTCTTATTTTTTTAGACAAACGTGTGTTCTCATTTCCATCACCCTTCCCATATTTGTTCTCAATGAATTGTATTTGTTTAAAAATATCATCACCGGATAATTGAGATGGCATTTTCTTTGTTTCAACACTTCCATCAAAGCATATTGCATCTTTCTGAAACTTATGCCCTTCATCTAAGAACCGCTTATGGCCCATATAACAATGCTTTCGAGTATGTTTTAACCATCTAGAATGGGTATCTTGGTTATAAGAGGGACAAGTCAATTCTCCTTTTTTGCTCCATCCAGATAATTAGCATATGTCAGGAAATCACTTATGGTCCACAACAAAGTTGCGTGCATATGAAACATTTGGTTGCTTGATGCATCATAAGTAAGCATGCCATCAGTCCATAATTCCTTTTACTCGTCAATTAAAGGCTGCAAATACACATCAATATCATTTCCAGGAGCGCTACACCCATCAATAAGCAAAGATAACATGAAATACGGTTGCTTCATGCATAACCAAAGAGGCAAGTTATATGACATTAACACAACAGGCTCGAGCGTACAACACTGCACAACAAATACTGGATGGGTGTATTCCCCGCTCGAGCGCCAACACCTCCGCTCGAGCGGACAGGCCAAAAATCTGGGCAACTAGTTTTGGTTTCTAAACTCAACCAACCTGAAACAAATCCGCCCAACACATCCTATAACTCAAATACGAAGAAAAAAGGATGTAAACAAAATAATAATCAACTACCAACATCCACGGACACATGTCCGGATCACTGTACAACAAGGGTAAACCCGGGATCGCTATAGAATAAGTATAAGAAGAATGAAGAAGAAAAAGGCAACAACAATCATGTGAAGAAGAAGATAGCAATGTAGAGAAGACACTAACGTAGACAAGAAGAAGAGAATGAAACAAAAACGTAAGAAGAGAAGAAGTAGAAGAAGAAGAAGACAACAACGTGAAGAAGAATTTTTGAATCTGTTGGACTGGATAATGAAGGCATGCAGCCAGTGGCGAAGCTAAGAAATTAAACCAGAGGGAGCACTTATTAATTACAACATTGAAAATTTTTACAAAAATATTTAACATAAACTTTTACGATTGATTTCAAGAAAGATTTAAAAAAATGTTATTTGTAATTAGTGTATCATAGACAATATAAAAAAAGTCATGGATATAAGTTTTAAAATAAATTATATAATGATAAAGTAATTTTTTTTATACAAAATATGAGTAAAAATTCAATATAATAGTAATATTACGTCATCATTGACATGTGATATCACCAATCAATAGTAAAGAAACACAAGGAGTATGAACCCCACATGTTAA